TTTTCAACCGAGCTCTGTCAATTTTTGCTAAGTGGCTAAAGATCTGTGTGGTCTGGTGTTATCATGACGATGGATCACTCCTTTTCTGTTGATCAATTCCGGCCGTTTTTCTCAATTTCTAAAAAGTCTTTCAAAAAAGTCGTTAGTTGTTGGCAGTAGAGATCCGAATCGATGCTTTTACCCAGCTGTAAACGTTAATAATTACAGAAATCTGAATAATAATTATTTAGATTTCTGTGCTCATAATAAACGATGCTCTTCTCATCCTTCTATACACACAGTATCACCTTATTGCGTGTTAATCCAGTTTCATTCCGGTTTCGCTACAGTCTGTGGACTTGACTACCCTACGACCATGATCTTTTTCGCACGAATTTTTCAGCAATAACTCTATCGAGTTCCTTAATGGAATGAATTTACTGAATTTGTTCATAAAGATCAACTGACATGTCTTTACTGTATTAATCAGACAGTTTTACGACAAATTTTTTTATTATTTCGTTTGAAAAAAAAAGTTTCTCTTGTTGTAATACTTCGAACATTTCGTTTGAAAAAGATAGGTTTCTCCGGTTGTAACACTTAGAATACATTACTTAGATCTCAGGCGCTCTGAAATTTTTGTTTAGTTTGAGACATTAAATCGTAAAATTGATCTAAACAGCAAAAGTAGATTACACATTAACTTTGAAGTACCTACGATTCAGGGATATTCTTCATAAAAAAAACGCTTCGTTATATTCTTTATTTTATTTTTGAAAGCAGTTTTTACGCCCACTCTTTTGCTAATCTGGGGACTTGCTCAGCAAATAATGGAATGAATTTTCATTTCTTATTTTGCTCAGTCTATTCAAAAGATTACCTAGTAAAATTTTAGAATTCTGTAAGTCAATATTTTCATGCTGTAGAGCTTTAGAAACAAGATTAATTATTTCAAATAGTGAATAAAAAAGGCGTCAAGCTCTATAAAGTCGTAGTTCTTTAAAATGGGAATTATATTTTTACATTCGACACATTTGCCTTTTTTGTGGAAATTAAATTTAGTTGGTACATAGTTTTTTTGATTAATATAATTCATTATCAAAATATTTTCCTTGCCGCTGATGAAGCGTCATTCCTTTAAGACCATCTAGTTATCTAGTAGGACACCATTTTAAGGGTACCTAATTTTATATGTTTTAGATGAATCGTTATTCCGTTTATCAACCCTAAAAAATCCACCCTAGAATGAATACTCAGTTTTTACCCTAAGTACAGTTTAATATATACACTTTAATTATTAATTAGTTTTTAATAACCAAAAATTTAATCGAAAATATATTACGAATTTCCGTAACTGTGACCAATTACAGCATATTAAAGGCCATGCATTAGGTATTGCAAAATTAAAATAAAATTAAATCAAATAAAACTTCCTCGTTTTAAATAAGTCCAGCAATTACCAACACTAATTTCATTATTCAGCAGACGTAATTTAATATCCTGGATAAATTCCTCTCTTTTAATGTATGTCAGGTATTTGAGCAAAGAACTGGGCATTTTTGTAAGCATTCCAAAAAACGTAATTAATGAATGTTAATTTTAAATTATTTTATGCCCAGATTCCAATGAATCTGTAGTTTTGTGAGGTATCCTTTTTATTTCAAACAAGAATAATGTACAAATTTTTATAAGTAATCTCTACTAAGTATCTCGAGCCAGTTTTTATCCTATTTCTATAAATGACTGTACACAGCAGAGGGAGAAAATCGGAAGAAAAATAATATATATGAATTCCGATTACCCACCGAACCTGAAATAAGGGTATAATATCTTAGGTTAGGGGCTAAAGACTACTGTAAATTTTGTGCATGTAATATGTTTATCAATAAAGATAATCATTTCATTAGGTAAAAGTTACAGCCTATATACGTCTCACTGCTGGGCACAAGCCTCCGCTCATTCCTGAGAGGGTTTTAGGGAAGGAATGCTGCCCCAATGCATGTTGGCGAACTTCACATTTCTTCGAAATATTTTTTTTCTTATTTCTCTGACATACAGGTTTCCTCATGATGTTTTCCTTCACCACCTAGCACGTGGTAAATCAGCACTTAAAATTGCAATTAACAATTTCATTGGTGCCGGCGGGGATCGAACCCGGTTTGCTCGCGTAGGTACTATAAAATTTGCAGCGAGCGCTAACCATCTGAGCTACCACGGCTCTTCTTTAGGTAGATAGGTAGGTTGTTCTTTAGGTACATTATCATAATTTCTGTTATCGAAATGTATCGAAAAACTACAGAAAATTAGTCAATATTTGACAGGTCTTCTTTAGGCACGTTGGATAATATTTGATGATATGATTTTTTTCTCGGGAAGTACGGCCGAAGAGTTTAAGTGAGATTGTGAATAACATTTTACGAATTTTCGATTACACACCTTGGGGGCCCCTGTAGCCCGGGAGCCCCGTATCATTGATACGGCTGATACGGCGGTAGCTACGCCCCTGGCTGGCCAGTCCAAAACATCGATTTCAACTTCCCGAAGATATTCCGAAACTATTGCTACAATGTGGGGCCAAGCATTCATCATTCGCCATGCATTTAAAAAAGAATTTATAAAAAGGCATAACAATCTGTTCTAAAATGTTAGTTAGCTACCGCGCCGCAGTCATCCCCGAGGACCGTGCACCATAAGCATCCCACTTCTTCTACTAATGTTACACTGAGTGTATCGTACTCCAAGTCGTGTCCACATTTTGGTTCTTCCATCATCTGACTTAAGGCTACATCGGGACTTTTCAGTAAAATGTACTCTTCTGCAAGCATTATCATCCCAACCCATCATTTTGGGTAGGCAATGCCGCTGTCCAGCTGCCTTAAGTCTACTTCTTATGCCTAATTGCCGAACTTTCTAGAGCTTAATTCTTACCCCAGAAGAAGTCGAATTACAATTGATTAGCTCGCTTCTGATAATAAATTTGTAGTCACTTGCTGTTATCATTCTTTTACGACTTTATCCTTTACGTCTCGTGCGAAAAATTATAGACTTGGAAGCTCGCAATGTTTGAGCCACTTGATTGTAAGTGAAACCATTTTCAATTGTAGTTATAGTTCTCGAGACTTGAGCTATGCCGCAAGCATTATCACTTTAATTGATCAATTGTACATTACGTGACACTACAACATTATGAAATAGGGGAAGGGGGGGCAGGATGGGGTCCTAAACTTTTGGAGTCTAATAAAACGCAGATTTTTAAGTATTTTGAATATTTTTTTTATAATCACTCTTGCATAATCAGTCTTTGTAAATAAGGAACTTAAGAAACTTTACACTCAAAGAAGAAGAAAAAATTACAAATTTTGTCAAAAAATCCAACACCCCTTCTTGCCCGCTAGATAGAGTAAGACTAGTATGGGAGACATATTCTAATTTTGGTTGCAAAACTCGCAAACAAATACTGCCTCTTCGTCCCCGTCATCTATCTCAGCACATCTACACTGTGGCCAATTCCCACAGAGATAACATGCAACCCATCCTTCATTAGAATACAAGTATTTTCCGTGGCAGTAAAAACAAGGAATAGTATCTTCTTCGTTGTCAAATTCGGTGAGCAATTAGGATTATTGTTGGTTTTTATTATTATTTTTTGTTCTTTTACTTATCTTTTTGTAATCTTCTGTCAGTTTCTTTTTTTTTTCATTGTTTCTTTTAACTCATTTTTAAACAGGAAAGAAGTTATGATAGCCGTTTTTTCTCGTTTCTTTGTAACGCGTGAAATTTTGCTAGTTACAGGATAAGGCATCACTTGCTGAGTACTTACAACAGAAAATACTGATGGTGGAGTAGTTGTCCTTTGATTTATTTCAATATCGGTCATCCAAGTGGAGTATTCTAGCTCAGGCTCTCTTCAATCTCAGATGTTGTCATGACAGCATATCAGCGGTTCGTCAATTGCAGGTATTGCTATATTTATCGGGTTAAAATATTGTTGTGGCTGTTATCGTCTTAGGGTCAACAGAAGCTTCAATTAATGTAAGTGGTCTATTTGGAGCTATTTCTTCGTTGTTCAACGTAGTGTTTTGTGGCAATACTACAGTGTTGGATATTCTCTCTGTCTGTGGAATATTTGTCGCCAATAATACAGTAAAATCAGTATCGGAAAAAACTGTTGGATCGTATGGCCAAATCCCACTTTTATGAAGCCATTTACAGCCGTTGCCATAGCAAAAGCTTGAATAAAGGCTTTACCAAAAAAAAATTACACTGACAGCTACCACCATCTCCGGATGACTTCGAAGCCTGGCTGTGATTTGTTGGTCGTATTATGTGCTCAGAGGTTTCATGTATGCTACATCAGCGACTTGAATTCGAAGAATCGTATCTGGGGGATGCATAATTTAACAACATAGTTGGAACAAGCTTCATTAATGACGTCAAGGTGTTGTGTGTGAGTGCTACGGCCATCTAACAACAACAACACAGTTCGATCAACCGTTACCCCAGTAAATTCAACAAACTTCTTAAGCCAGCCGAGGAATAATTCAGCTGTCCCAAACTCCAGGCGCAGCATTCAGCATTAGCTGAGGGCCTATCCTCTTTCACGGGAATACCATCATTGGAGGCATGTATATGCCCACGAGCACTAAACATATTTAGATATTTATTGTAGTACCTCTCTCCGCAGAAGTTATCGATCCCACTTATTTTCTACCTTTTCGTGCAATTATTTTTGAAATGACAAACCAAGTAAAAAATAAACAGGAGTTTCAGTGGTACCTAAAAATGTACTAAAACTCCTGTTTCATTACAATTTTATATACTATCCGGTAAAAGTTTGTGCTCATCATAAACGTCGTCGAGGAAGTTGAAAAACTGTCTAACAACTTGTTTATTAAACCCAGCGGGAAATCCTTTCTGGATTTCGTATCAACCATTCTGGATGCCTGCTTAAAAATCTCTGAACCGTCAGACCATGAAACCATTAAAGCAACATCTCTTTAAGCAACGTTAAAGAGATGTTGCTACCCATTTTTTACTGTAAGAGTATATGCCAGAGCCGTTAAATCTTTTGTTGTAAGTCCATAAAGATTACTCTCCATATCCATTTTATAATTGCAAAGTTCTTTCACTTCGTCACCAGAAAATGTTCGCTTTTTTGGGCCTAAAGGAACTTTCACCAAAGTTGTAGGAGCAGCAGAATCTTCTAGGGTTGTACGAGATTCTTTAACTTTCCTTTCGAGGGTATTTTGTGGCACAAAATATGTTTTCGCCGCCAATTTATACCCCATTTTTTGCTTCAATTACTTCTACCGCATTTTTTATACTTTGTCCAATCCAATTCCCCCTCTCTGTTTTTCTTTTATAATTTTTCACCATATTAAAACAAGATAAAACTCAATAATAAATTTAAAGGGACATAAAGTGTCATAGAAAAATAATAATTTTTTCGAGGGGCAAGATGGGGTACCTCATTACCCATTTTACCCTCACACGCTCATTTGAATTAAATAACATGCCTTAAAAATAAAATCGGAAAATGGGAACAAACATGTTCTTAACTGCTGGTGTATTCATTGATAAACAAGAATAACTTTCAGTCCGTTCTAGAAAACTTATTTTGATGTACAGAACACAAGCAACGTTCACCACGAAAATCACAACGAATTTGACAAAAAGTGAGTTTTTGGCGGTAGGGCAAAACGCATGGACTTACAAGCCGATCACAGCGCTAATTGATAAAAAATACAATAACGTATCATTACAAGCCAGAGCGGCTGTGATTTGTCATTCGTGCGACCGATGAGACCCGCTAACCCGTCTTGCCTGCTGCTCCATCTTGCCCCCGCTTCCCCTAAAACAACCAGTTTAAGTGAAATTGCCACAATACTTTATTGTATTTTAAAGGACATTATATGACATGATGTATGAAATATAATTTCAACACAAAGGCTGCCGCGACTCCGCTGTAGGTAGTGTACCCCGATGGACTTATTTTTGGATGACACATTCGCATAAATGGGGCCTCAATTTCATGAAGAACGCGAGTTATATTGGCCTTCAGGGAGGCAATTGTCTGTGGTTTGTCTGCATACACAAGTGATTTCACGCCCCACAGAAAGTAGTCGAGCGGTGTTAAATCACACGATCTCGGTGGCCAGTTGATGTCGCTAGTCTCTAACGCGCGAGTTGGCAACGCCTTCGAACTTATCATCCAATAAATTGGCCAGTGGAGCCGTCCTGTTGGAACCACATGTATACCATGAACTGCCTAGGCCACAAAAAATTGTTATCATCCTCCGATATCGGTTGCCATTGACAGTGAGCGCGGCTCCTTGCGCATCTTCGAATAAATAAGGGCGTACTACCATTGAGCCCTTATTTCTTCTAAATCCACACCAAACAGCGACTTTTTCTGAGTGTAAAGGAGCCTGATGAATCTCCCGTGGAATTTAGTCGTTCCAAATCCGGCAATTTTGTTCGTTAACAAAGCCACTCAACCAGAAATGAGCCTCATCACTGAAGATGATTCTTTACCGAAAGCAGGGTCAGCCACCAAATGTTCTAAAGCCGATAGTAAAAGTGGTCGTTGGCTTTTAGTTCTTGAGTTTATTGAACTTTGTATGGATGAAAACGCAAGTCTCGACGTAAAATCCGACGCGGAATGGACTGTCTGGGGTTTTCTCGCACACTGTCCTGAAAGGCAACAATATTCTCTAACGGTCTTGCGTTTCTTTGACGTACAGGCGCTGCTTCATCGATCACCGACCCGATTGTCTCAAATGTATTCACTAAACGGCGGATTGTGTACTCTGCAGGACGGCTATGAATGCCATAAATTGGACGCAACGCACGCAACTTTAGGCGAACAGAGCACTGATTTTGATAATTTTAACAATTTCAATGCGTTGTTGAAACGTGTAGCGTTCCGTAGCAAAATGTCAAAACCACAGAACACAATTACTCTCTACCGAGAGGTCAAGACTAAATGAGTGTTCTTGTTTGACAGCTATCGCTTTGCCAAGACCGCCGAGAGGTTGTTCTTCTTTTTTCAAATTACTTGTACTGATATGTATATAGATGCCAGTACGTAATAAACATGTTTTATCCTTCTTTTAACATTTCTCTAAAGATATCCAAGATTGCATTTAAAGCAGCCTTTAGACTAGCAAATTGTCTCGCGTATTTGTCTATTTGTCACGTTTTGTCAGCTTGCAATAATTAAATGGCCTTGATTTTTCTATTTTACCCTGAACAATTCCTGAAAACCAACAATTTAGGTTCTTGTACAAATGTCATCTTCAGCTGGGATTCTTTTAAAAACCTGAAATGCTCTAAAAATGACTGCTCATGGAAAAACAAATAGAAATATCAAACGCCAAAAGAAAAACAATTATACGCAAGCATTCGCAAAATAGAACTAAATTAGCGCAGGACTATTATTTATCACTTAATGGTTACTCGAGTCGAAAATTTAACATCACGGCATAATAATAAAAGAACGTCATGCTAGAATATTAAGATTATAATTTAGCTTTAAAAACTTTGACGTCAAAACTGCTAACACTATATTCTCATATTATTTCTAAAAATATGTTTGCATCTGCATCCACAGATTCCATTGCTAGACAGATACACAATTTGAAAAAAAAAACACACGTCATCAATTAAAAAAAGTTTTAAGTAATTATCGCATCATGATCATTATTACAGTACTAGTACAAGTGGTTGGGTTGCTAAGAATTATGTAATTCACCAAATTGCAGTGTTTAGAACAATTATTGCAGTTAATAGGTAGTATTAATAAGGACTAAATTAGGTTTCTGAAGACCTTATTTAATTTTTTTATTTATAACATTTTCTTACGTAAGAACATCGATTATACGGAAGTTTATTGCCGATATGAAATATATTTAAGGTCACTCGAGGCAAGTGTGACATAAATTAATTAGAACTATAATGGGTATCTAAATACTTCTACTCTGTAAGAATTTAGCATAGAGAATTAACTCAGTTTCATAACATCAATTATTAAATGGTTGTTTATTTGATCAAGCATTTCAGTATATACAAGTAGCATTTTGTAATTTGTAGTAATTATAACTAATTGATATGGAAGACTGTCACACTTATCGATCAAAGAGGTTAGTGGACGTACGCTTCTTTTCGTAGTTATTTTATTTTTTACTGTGGTTTTCGACAAAATTGATGAGATGATACTAACGTCAATATATTTTATGATCTATAAAAACGATTTGAACGTTCATTTTTAAGTAATAATGAATTTTTAACCACACGGGGCAAGTGTGACTGTTCAACCAATATATTGATGTGCCTTTAAATGGATTTATGTCACACTTGCCCTGAATGTTTTGTAAGTGTAATAAAAACAATGCCAAGTGAAAAACAACTTTAATTCAGAAACGTTAATAATCAATAATAATATAGCCATAATGGTTTGGTACTTGTATTATGTATGCCATTTTTAGTTGAATAAAAACTTATTAATAAACTTGTCATTTAGTTAAATTTCAAAGAAAAAAACGTCATCTACGTCATTTAACAAAACAATCACATTAAGGTTTTCTTCTGTTTGGTCTACTTAATACTTTGTACCGCTCTTTCTCTTCAAAATTCTGTACTATCCCAACATAATACTGCCATTTTTTCTGCTCGTAATATCGTGAAACAGTGTCATTTTCTTCTAAAATCAAATTATACTTGTATCTTCTTCTGTAACTGTTTCGATGGCATTTATTATTTCTGCTTCTGACATCCTCTGATATTTTTCTTTGATAAGTATTTCTTCCCTGGTATTAATAAAAAAGTATATCCTAATTTTTCGAAAGTGGGTTAAAATAAAGGTCCGGTCTGTCCCATCACTAGATACGATATTGTCATACAAAATGACCGGGGTAAACGTAAGACTGTCACACTTACCTCGATATTAGGTTACTGTATCCGTATTTCAGGGAAAAGGATTTCAGGTTAAAAAGTTAAAGTTACAGCCTATATACATCCCACTGCTGGACACAAGCCTCCTCTCATTTTTGTGAACCTCTTGCGCAGCAAGGAATTGTCCATCGCGCTACCCCAATGAGTGTTGGCGAACTTCACATGTCTTCGAAATATTTTTTTTATTTTTCAGAAATGCAGGTTTCCACACAATGTTTTCCTTCACCGCCGAGCACGTGATAAATCAGCATTTAAAATTGCAATTAACAATTAGCGGGGTCCTTAGTAATCGTGGCTTGGTCACCAACGGTGAACATAGGTGAACTATGGCGTGGTGGACTATGACGGCAGGGGTGTCCATTTCCCCATCCTGTCACAGCCGAGGTGGGTCACGAAGTGCTCTTGCTCTATCACCCGTGATGTTGGCGGGGCCGCACCGTTAATATGGTGGTGGTAGAGCCATGAGGGGAGAGGTGTGTCGGTGTTGCGAGCTGCTAGTCTTCCTATCCTCCGCCGCCGAAACTTGATTGCTGGCGGAGCCATAGACCGGATTCACCGCTGGGATCAGGAAGGAGCTGCCATCTGCCAGCCGACGCCAATATAGCCGCAGAGGTGTGTGAAAGTGGCCCTGCCAATATGCGGCTAAGATGAAAAAACACCATGGGTTTTTTGCGAGTCCGACATAACCCGTCCGTGGCCCAGCGAGGCGGGTATGCGTAGGCATTTCCGCATGTATAAAAGGGACCAAGCGCTCAACCTTGTAACGCGGCCAACCTGAGTTTGATATCAAAGCAATATGGTTTACTATAATCAGAATCAGAAAGAGGTACTGCAACTGTTAGTCTGATTTTAAGTTCTGTTAAGGAATACATCGTGAGGAAACCTGCATTTCTAAGAAATAAAAAATATTTCGATGCCAACACGTATTGTATCAACGTCAGTCTTGCTTTGAGGGTTTGAAACACTCTCAATTCTGAGAGGAGGCCTGTATTCAGCAGTGAGACGTATAATAGGCTATAACTGTACGTTTTTGATGGTTCAGGTTGAAATTCGAACCAAGTACCCGCTGCTTAATAGTCGGTTTTCCAAATACCAAGCTATGCAGTTATAACATATATTCGTATTACCCAACGTGTTTAATGTAGGTAAGTATATGGTAAATATATGTATGTTAATGATTGTACGAGAACGTTTAGAAACTGTTCATAACTAATTCAACGCTCTTATTTTACTCCATTAACCGATCTGATCTTACATTATAATACGGTATGTGTCACCTGATGGTAGTGGATGCTGTAGCCCACAGACATTTACATTAATTCTAGATCAAAAATCA